GGTGTGTGTGGCTACGGGGTGGGGGGTGTCTGCCTGTGGAGATGTCACAGCTGCAGGGCCCAAATCACATGTGACAGGCCCCACATTGCATCCCTGGTACCCCAAAATGTCCCCATGGGCCTTGAAGTGTAGCTGCGAAGCCCCACATTGTGCCCGATGGGCTCCACATTTCATCCCTCATGCCTCAAAGTGCCCCACTGAGCCCAGAATTGTAGTTGTGGGGCCCCAAATTGTCCCTGGTGGGCCCTAAGTTGTAACCCTGGTGCCCCAGTTTGCCTCTTGGTGCCCCACATCATCCCATAGCAGTCCCAAATGCCCCCATCGGGCTCTTACTAACTCCACTGGGCTCCAGTTTGCATCCCCAGTTGCCCATATCAGGCCCCATTGTGTAGTCCTGGTGCCTCAAATTGCTCTCTGGATACCCCAAATCAACCCCCTATATCACCCTCACTGTGTCTCAAATCACTCCATCAAGCCCTGATTTGCCCAAAATCTCCTTGCCCCTGTACCCCAAATTGCCTGGTTGGGCCCCGAATCACCCCCTGGGCACCCTGAACCATTCTCCAGCCACCTCATATCTCCTCACTGAACCCCAAATTGCTCTCTGGTGCAACAGGGGTACCCTGGCATCCAGCAGCCCCATGAAAGCCTCATGGGTCTGGGTGAGGTTGTCCAGGGCCAAATCCACCAACCCCAAGACCCCTCTCTTTGGTTCAAAGATATTTATTATTTTAACAACCTTTAAAAATCGGCAATGATGGCCGCTTCTGCCCTGGTGGTGTGGAACAGGGTCAGGGCCAAGAGGGGACGCGGCTGCCAGGGTGCTCACTGGATGTTTGGGCGGCTCGGAGGTGGATGAGATGGAAACCAGAGAAGAATACACATCCACGGGCCCCGAAAACAGTTAAAACTTAGAGAATTGCTTAAAAAAAAAGAAAACATTTAACCAGGAAGGAAGGTGGGCACCCTGATACCTTGATTTAAAGTGTTTCGGGGCTGCTGCCCTCCAGCCTCCTCCGGACCATCTCCACCAGGGAGTCAGAGTAGGTGCGGAGCAGTGCCAGAGTTTCAGGGTCCGGTGGTGGCGGTGATGCTGGGGTGTCAGTAATGGTGGCGACGTCGGCGTCACAGATCATGGTGCGGGAGCGCAGCTCCGCTTTCATCCGGCCGAAAAGGCCAGCCAGCGCGGTCCTTGCCTGGAGGAGTTCCTCCTTGGTGGCCTCAGTGCAGAGGGTCACCTGCGGGAGAGGGTCTGTTGGTCACCCTGATTATTTGCCGAGTGGTTAAAACGCTCCCCTGGCACCTCGACTTTGAAATGAGCCGTGAGGGGCAGTTTTCGGGGGTCTGACCCCACAGACGTGGCCAAAATACATCAGCGATTGGTTCTCCAAGGGAGGTAGAAGCAGCAAACAATCCCCCCAAAATGCTGTGAGTTAAGGCGGTGGGGGGGGGTGTCCCCCGTTGGGAGGCACCGACCTGGTCATAGAGCCCCAGCGTCTCCTGGAAGTGGCTCCACACCAACTGCCCG